ATCATATCATCAGATACAGATCCTATTAATAACTGATCATTGATGATTGAAGAGGATGATAGTGAACATGGAGGAACACGAGGAGGCGTCTTCAGCTAGTTGTCGTCCTCTTTAAAGCCAGAAACACGACGTTCATGTTGAACTTCTTCTTCTACTCATCGCTTATGTTTCTGTAGATGAAACGAGGATCCGTGTGTGTTTGAACGCTTGGTGGGTGGAGCCTGGCTGTGGAATCTGCTGCAGGGAAACATGAATTATGTAGTGGTTTAGCTTAAATAAAATAATAAATGATCCCGTTACATTATCTTATTGGACAAAAATAATCTGCAGTATATTGTGTTTAAGCATAAAAGAAATGTGTCACAGTTCACTCTTCTATTGTTGAGTCCGGCCCTGCTAGTCGACTGATCGCTGCTGGATTATACATTTGAAGGAAACTTTCACATCTCTGGTTTAAAGTGTTATTGTAGACATTGATCCACAGTCCTGCAGGACATGAAGTCACGTTCCTCTTGGCTCTGATATGTTTTAGGAAGCGTCTCACCTGAGGAGACCCGCACTGGACCGCTATCAACAGTCTTCTCCTGTGATTGTACTGACGGCCTGTCAGAGAAGTCAGCAGTCAGTTTATTCATTTCATACAAAACAAACATTATTATTATTATTCATCGTATGGCGTCTTACTCCAGAGTGGCTGGTTGGCTGTCAGATGTCTCCAGAAGAAAGACGCTGGTCCCTCTTCAGCCCAGTGTGCTGTGAACAGACCAGACCAGCTGAGGGAGGACTGGGAGGTCTGCTCACCACATGACACTGTGGACCGTCAGTCAGAGATGAACCAGCGGCACAGAGCTACAGACTGCTGAACAACAGCTTCACTGACCCCCTGAACTCAGTGCAATAACACTTAGAACACGTCAACCAATATCAATACAATCAACCACAGCGATGGTGTGAACCGGCTCAACCATTGAGCGGTAAGTGAGACGTTTGAGCAGAGAAGAGAAACAGGTTTAAAGAGATCAAAGGGTTCTGATCAGAACTCTGATAAACAATGTATCATTGATTATCATAAATCATCTCATGAAACATGATGCTAACACAATAAGCATGAAGTTCAGCAAACATCTTATTAACAAAGGAATAGTTATTATAACAGATAATTGATGTTTACCAGCGCGAGCCTCTCGCGGGAGTAACTGGGAGAGAAGCTGGTGAAGAGTTGGTCTCTGAATCCCATTTAACAAAGTCCTAGTTTTACTATTCTCTGCTCCTCAGTCAATGCGCACATCTTCAGTGCGCTCACACAGCCGTCCTGTGACTCAGCACAGAGGACGCGTACATTCGGCTTTCACGTGTTTGACAAATCAGCAGTTATTTGGACACAATTTAAACGAGCATCGGTCCATCGGTCCGGTGATCGGTGGTCCCGGCAACAACAGGCAGAGGACAGAAGATGATTTTTAATAGTTCCGAGTGATTCTTCTTCTACGAGATTAACGCCGAAGTCTCGTGCAACGCTCGTTAATGAGGAACATTTCGGACTGTCGTGTTTTTATATTGTATGTAAATCAATATACAAATATACACATTTGTAAACGGAGTCTGGCTTTTTTACTAAAAAGCGTTTAGCTCGATTTTTAAAGATAATTACAACACGTTCTCAACACTAAATTAATCGGTGTATAATCGATGTATAATCGGTGTATAATCGGTGTATAGTCTGTGTATAATCGGTGTATAGTCGGTGTATAATCGGTGCAGACTGCAGGTTGTTGACAGCAGCTCATGGATCACAGATCGCAGAGATATCATAACATATATTCAATCATCATCAGCTCGTGACAATACGCCGAGCGCACGTGTCAAACATGAGGCGTCGTTCTACATACCTGTGATGTCTACTTTTAATTCCCTTATTGATGAAATCTAACCGGCTGTCATTTTGCTCTCACATACATCCCGGAAGTGACGTCGCTTGTTAGTTGTTTTTTTCTCCCCTTTCTTTATTTATTTATCGACTTCCTTTAAAGTTACGCCATGTGTGGTCTTTAGATTGTTTTTTATGAAATGCTATCAAATAGAACAAAAATAAAAAATAAAAATTTGACGATGACGTCACTGTGCTGCTGCTGGAGGTCATGATTCCAGAAGTTTTCATCCTCATGGTTACTGTAGGGAAAGCACAGGAGCACCGAACAAACATGATTAATGGCTGCATTCCATGTAGGAGACCAGGTCCAGGCATTATTATAGCACTGGATCACGTAATGAAACATCACATAACTTAATATTCAGAGGAGGTCATCACAGGAGAGTGGATGCTTTGTTATCGGTCAGGAAATAGATGTGGTAATGAAATGAATGTTTATTTATTTACTGATGAAAATAAATATATATTCTATATATCTAATAAAATAAAACTAAAATCATAACAGTACGGGATCATTTGGTGTATAAATATGAAAACATGTATATTATATATATATATTTTTTTGGTCGATTAAGGTCAGTCTACACTAATATTATTAGTACAATACTTTTGTTTTATATAATTATATTTGTAGAATTAGTGGCTGCTTGTGGATCGTTTCTGACTCGTGTGATAAATATTTTCAGTAACTCCAGACCGTCAAAAAGTTCCAAAAGTAAAAAGTTATTGAAAAAAGAGATTTACAAAATTCACAAGATTTTATCTGACGAAATATTCTGCTTCAATCTGTATTTGTCAGCGGTCATAAACCTGTTTGCTCTCCTGAAGAAGCATCAATTATATTTATTTAACCGCGATAACAAACATAGTAAATTACTTCATTCATTACAGAAAAATAAGTCATATTTTGTATCTGCATTCGCTTTGAGAATCACTTGTGTCAAAGTATTAATCTGATTATTGTTTTTGTTAAAGAACTTTAATCTGTAAACTTGTGCTTGAATCCCGGAAATGAGATCTGTGAGCACGAGGAGACGTTAACCCTGTAAAGAGTAAAATATAGGAAAATAGTTGATTCACTTTGCAGAATTTGTTTGTGCAGAAATGAAAGGGTTTTCAATTATTTTATGTTATTCATCTTTAGATAAATGTAATAAGTCAGCGTTGGTTCTGTATTTGTACTCACATTATTTAAATAAGAACAAATAACGGCTCATTTGCTGATTTAGCTCCATTACAGTATAGATCATGAATAATTATACTATAATAACATGCCATTTCATCAATTGACATTTATTAAATAAAAAAACAAGTAAAATTGGATCCTCCAGGTGATTCTGTGCTTATTGAATCTCTGCAGAGATAGAATATGATCTAAAAAAATAAGCCAAGTCACATTTGTATGGTTTAAGATCAGATAAATGTACTTTTTCTAACTGATAAGATACAGGCAGTGTTTTAAATGCTGCAACCAGAAATACGTTTTAACAGTGAAATGTATTTATAGTGAATCATCAAAGACATTATATCTCTATTAGTGTTTTATTCCATATGTGAATTTCAATGTCTCCATGTAAAGCGTAATGCGAGTAACGTTTGAGTGACCTTGAGCTGCTCCTAAAGTTAAGAACCTGTATGTATGACGACTGAAATAAATGTTTCTTTATTTCTTAAAGAGAACATGCTATTTTCTCCTCCGCGAATCACCACCTTAATGTGGTGGAGGAGTTTGAGAGGCTCAGTGATCCTGGGAGATATGTTGTCCGGGCAAGTAGCCCCTGGTAGGGTCTCCCGAGGCAAACAGGAGAAACAACATGGAGCAGCCACTCTGTGGACCCACCACCTGCAGGGTCAGACATCAGGGTCGGGGGCCTGGACTAGCCGATCGCCGGCAGCATAGACTAGCTCTAGGGACGTGGACCGTCACCTCGCTAGCGGGGAAAGAGCCAGAGCTGGTGCAGAAGGTGGA